AAAGCTGTTGAAAAGATAAACACTCAGCTGCCGTCCATCAGCACAGACCTGCTCACAGTTTGTTTGTCTGGACTCTGGCAGGACGCTCACAGGAAGCTGCGAGCTCTCAGAAAGATCCCCTCCTGTGCCTCCAGCAGGACTAAGATTACGTCTGCGTGACATAAAGCGCCTGTAATTCTTAATAACTCGGTGAAGCACATTAAACTGTTGATTAGCTGCATCTCTTGTGATTTCAGCAGTTGCTTTATGCAAACACCTGCCCTGTAAACTCTGCCTCGTGTGTCAGAGCCAAAAACGCTAGCGGGAATCCATCTCATGACACTTCCTACCCGCCGGGGGTCACAAGCCATCGCCGCAGTCCTTTGAGTGCTGGGATGCAAAACCCATTTTCCCTCAGCAGGACACCACTTCTCTGGCTTTCATCCGCCCCGCTCTGGAAATGAGAATGACGTTCTATTAGCGAGGGGAAAGAATCCCCCACCTTGGCGAGCGAGAGGTGCATCGCTGAGGGCCAATTGCCTAAATGAAATTCCAGTATGTGATGAGTGGGAAGCAGGCGGCTCGCCGGGTAGCCAGGACTGTGCAGCTGCAGACTCGTGTCCTTTCCAAACCCTGAAATTTAGCCCCAGTGCTCTGCCTCAAACTCTGACACACACTGCATGCAGATCCAGATCTCAGGGTTAGATTTTGTAGGCCTGCATTGCTTTGCTGAGTGTGTGTGTGAGAAATGCTGGTCTAATCTCGCCCGTCCACAACACTTACGTAATCAGATTTTCCACCTCTCTCTGAATCGCTCAGTCTGGACCTTTGGCTTTCATGTTAAACTCTGCAGCAGACGAGGAAACAACCAGACACATGTGTGTATTCCTGTTTGGATCTCCAAGTGAGCCAGGTGCCTTGTTGTCAGGGCGATAATGTGTTTTCCTGCCAGGCTAAAAGATGGAGGCTCTTTTATCTGTGCAGCACTGGAAACCTCATTTCCCAGTCCGGGTTTCCTTCCAGAGGCTCCGTCCACTCCGGTCCGGCTGCCAGAGCCGAGTCTGTGGGGAGCAGAGCTCATTTACTTCCAACCACATGTGGCCGTCAGTCTGAAGCTGCTAATATTACTCACCTTGCAAACATCCCTCACAGCTGCTTTCTGCTTGTCTGCACGTAGTTTAGATGCTGTTGTTGCTCTTGGCAAAAGCTGGCAGTTAGTGTGCTAACATGCTAATGTTTAAAGGCACAGCATGCTCAGTCTTCATGTTCGCAGGTGTGTTGCTGATTTGCTCTCATCCACAGAGCTGCCAGAGCGACCAGCGATCACTGAAGGTCAGTGACACGGTGAACGGTAGCAACAGGTGGAGCAACTGTTAGCAACACAGAGTAGGCGTGTCCCTGCTGAGGTGAGCGACTGCAGCAAAGGATGGGTCTGATTAACCTGACTCAGTGGAGCACAAGTTATTTACTGAACCGGAGCCTGAAGGTAGCAAAGAGCAGAACAGCTCCTGTGAGGTTTTAGGTTGTTTGCAGATTGCTGCAGTTTCCATGTTTGCATGAAACATGCAGGCATGCGTGACTGAGGCCTTTTAACCTGCAGACGAGTTTTCAGGGACGTTCAGATGTTCGGGCCGAGACGTCCTCTTCCATCTGCTGCATGAATTGGCCGTTGACTCTGGAGCCTGGGTGGGAGATGATGCTCACATTTGGAGAGTCACACCAATAAACTGAACTCAGCTCAGCTCCACTTTCAGCCCTTTATGAGCTTATTGGTGCGACCCTCCACAACAGTCCCAGTTTTTCACGTGGCTGTTGGGACAAAGGATTGCTGGCTGCGCTCTGGAGCGTCTGCAGCAGATATCTCAGCCAAGACTTCCTGTTTTGTCTGCTGGTCACAGTTTCCAAAAGCAGATTGATTTCAAAGAGTGAAATGCACTTCAGCAGTTAGAAAAGGACAAATGAAAAACTGATGGTCATCGATGATTCTGAGATTAGACCAGGTGGG